GTTTTGGTCACAACACGCTTCCGTAGAGAAAAAAAATTTACATAACTTGTGCATACACAATTTTTTAAATACTCAGTAAGATGTGTGGTTAATTCTGTGTCATTTTAGATAATTGTACAAAAGAAAACAATGTAGAACAGTGAGTAAAAGATAAACTCTCTTTTAATGATTACTTCATTCAAAATTGTGTTTAAAATCGCGAAATTATATGACACATTTTGTCATCTGCATAATCGATTGATTCAATTAAATCTACCTACTTACATATTTTCCCCTAAAATTTATACAGAAGAATATAAAAATGACTAAAATTACTCACCTTTGCACTAGGAATGCTGTATTTGAAGTAACTTCAGATCTTTCAACGAAAATATAATAAACGTGACGTCATCGAACGTGCATAAAATTAAAGTATGGTGTAATTTAAGAGCACATTTAAATATCGATTTTTACTAAATCTTAATGATCGATTTTTCAGGATTCTGCAAGGAGATTTTTTGAGGACTTTTTTCTCAAAATGTAGATAATGTTTATCTTTTATTTAATCGTGAAAACATTTGTGAAGGAATTAGTTTTATCATAATTTCTATTATGACTGGCCTAGTAACTTTAAAACTGAAAAACAAATGGGAAAGCTTACTAGATATTAAGTTACCATGAAGTAAAATATGGTGCCACGTTTATGATTCCTTTTCTTCATGCAAAGCTGTACAATGTCAGTGGAAATTTATACACCATGTTATTTATACAGAACACAAGCTGTCTCTTCCGGTACATGTTGTATATGTAAATCTCACAAAGAAACTTTGTAACATCTCTTCTGGGAATGTGATTTTGCAAAAAAAAATTTGACATTTGTAATTCAAAAACATAAGTACGCTAAAATCTTGGAAAGTGTATTTTCTCATTTCCAATCAACTGCACTTTTTGGGTTTTTTGAACAAGCAATGGATAATAAATTGATTAATACTGTTATATTTGTCAAAACAAAATGGGCAATTTGGAAATATCGTAACAATTGTAAGCATAATTATTCATATCAACAAATACCTATTTTGTTAAGAAAATTGTTCAATGATATAAAATACTAATTTGAATACAAATGTAGAAATAAAGACGATACTCTGATAGATTTATTTCTAATATTTGTAATTTGTATGAATATTATCTTTAATGTAAGGGACGCAACTCAATTAAAATTATAGAATTAATTGAAAAAGATTTATTCGCTTTTCAACCTTGTCACTTTTCGTTTTTGTTTTCTTTTTTTCGGACAAGTAAATGGTACCTTTTTCGAATTCTTATATTAATCACATTATCTGTACTGCTTCTAATTTTAACTTTAATTCTCATTATGCAATCAATTTATTGTTGCTGGAAAGTATAACATTGTGTAACATAATTTGTATTTTATTAAGGCTTTGCTTTAGAAAACCTATGTAACATTTTGTATAATCGCAGTTTAAGAGTTCTTTGAAAGCATGAAATTAATTTTATTAAATGTTTTTTGTCATAATCAACTTTATACCATGAATCATTGTAAGGCTGATAGGAGGATGCTCCACGACTCCTAGCATGCCAATGACGGGGAAAATCAATTGGTTTACCCCTTAACTTGCCCCCCCCCCCCCCAAAAAAAAAAATGAAAAAAAAAATCATTTGTAAGAATAACATTTTTATTTTCGACTACTTTACAGGCATAGTTTTTATGCTTTTAAATTTCTGGTATAATATTATTTAATCGTTTCTCTGAACTCTTATCATTTAAAACCAACAGTATTGTTCTTTTCAGTCAGTTTATATACTGTGTTGAAATGGCATAGGGGTAAAGTATCACCACTCTGTGGTATCATCACACTTTAAGGAAATGGCTGGTGACATGTTTAAAGTATGTGCTCGGAATTTTCAATTAATATCTGAATGGATACATGGAAGTTATTAAACATAACATAACATACATACATACACACTCTAACTGTATCAATATAGATCGTACTTACTATTATATTGATACTTGCAATAATAAGAGGTTAATACACGGCAGGAGAGGGCCGGAAGGTGATAATCGGCCCGCAAAATAAATAATGGCCTCGAGGGCTTTAGCCCGAGGGCCATTATTCATTCAGGGCCGATTATCACCTTCCGGCCCCATTCTGACGTGTATTAATGTCTTTAATACAATTGGTAGATCTAATAGTAGCATTTAAAAAAAACAACAACAAAACAAAACCCAAAAAACAAAGTTCTTTCGTTGAAATTCTTGTCTACTCTTGTACTGTTCTGTACAGATATGTTTACTGTCTGTGTGTTCAAAGCAGTAGAATCTACTAGAAGCAAGTTTTATTTTCATTTTTTCTGGAATGAATTCGTCGTATTATTTCTTCAAATTTCAATAGTAACAAAAATGTGTTTGTACTAAATACGCTTAAGCTCTCATTATAAAAATAAAGCGATTCGTGCTGACAACCTACTTTCACTTTTACAGTTAACTGTTTGATGACGTAAAATATGACGTCATTGTTTCAGTTTGTGCACGTGCACATGTTCTGCGGGCTGATAACTAGTTCTCGGCCCCGGGCCGCAAACTCATAATAGGTCACGTGACACTCATAATCAGTTGAAATCATAGGCAATTTTGTTACTATATATAGTAACAAGTGTATTAATACATGTTCCGGACTTATGTAATAAATGGATCTCTTTTGTAATTGTTTAAGAATTAATTTTGATTACTTTAATTTTGATAACTTAAAATAATTTCACATTCGGGCGTATATTGCCACGCCTATGCGGTGCTTTAGTCTGCAAATGCTATAAAGTTCAACTTATTGTAATAAGAGATTAATACACGACAGAGTAGGGCCGGAAGGTGATAATCGGCCCGCAAAATGAATAATGGCCCCGAGGGCTTCAGCCCGAGGGCATTATTCATTTCAGGGCCGATTATCACCTTCCGGCCATACTCTGCCGTGTATTAATGTATTTAATACAATTGGTAGATCTAATAGTACATGTAGCATTTTTTTTAAAACAAATACTTTGAAGTTCCTTGTATACACTTCTACTGTTCTGTACAGTACAGAGATGTTTACTGTTTGTGTGTTCAAAGCAGTAGAATTTAGAAGCAAGTTTTATTTTCTTTTTTTTTTCGAAATGAATTTGTCGTATTATTTCTTCAAATTTCAATAGTAACAAAAATGTGTTTGTACTAAATACGCTTAAGCTCTCACAATAAAATAAAGCAATTCGTGCTGATAACCTACTTTCACTTTTACAGTTAACTGTTTGATGACGTAAAATTTGACGTCATTGTTTCACTTTGTGCACGTGCACATGTTCTGCGGGCTGATAACTAGTTCTCGGCCCCGGGCCGCAAACTCATAATAGGTCACATGACATTCATAATCAGTTGAAATCACAGGCAATTTTGTTACTAGATATAGTAACAAGTGTATTAAAGACTATTACACTATCAAGAATTGTAAAATGTCCATCATGTTCCTACAAAATTTTAGATTTTCTTTTGACAGCCATTGAAAAAAGTTCTAGAGCACATGCATCACAAAATTGTAAATAAAGCCATTTTTATTTTTTGTTGCCGTCAACTAAATAGGCAGGCATCATGTGTATCAGATGACAATCTGTCGTATTTTTATTAAAGTTAATTTCACATGATCTGGATGGAGATGAGTATATCAATACTTACAATACTGCACGTTTGTAACGTCGTTTTTCATTGGATAATCGTGACGTTTATATAGTTTTATATACACGTTCATGAACAAATCTTACCTTTTTCTCTAAAAAATGGTGTTTGCTGTATTAAAAATTCGTTATAAAGATTGTTGACAGGTTATATGGCCGTATATAAACGGCTGTTTTCAATATAACCCTCGCCTAGCGGCTCGGGTTATATTTACAAAAAGCCGTTTAAATAGGGCCATATAACCTGTCAACAATCTTTATAACTAATAATATAAACGGTTCTAAAGTTATGAGAAACGCATTTCCTTTAGCTGTTTCTTCATTAATAGATATATGGCAAAATAAACCAGGGCGATGTCAAAAGGATATATATTGTATACATGACATTCATTTATAGAAAGTGTATTTATCTAAATGGAAATAATAATACGAATTTTCAAATTTCAATAAAAAAGATAATTTGAAGTAAATGTTCCAGATTATGTTTTTGTAAAGTTAGATTTAAATATCAACATATTATGTAATTAGTACATAATATTTTATAATATTACTTAAGAAGTATACTATATATCTTTATGAATATTTTACTAAGAAATTAGTAATTTTATTGTATTCTTTTATTTTATGGTAGATTGAACGTATTGATTGACAATAATTTTGTAATTACATGTATATAGCTTGGCGTATACACACATTGTTAAATTTTCACTTTGCCTTGCCTATAAACTTAGATTCTTTCAAGTAGTTGAATTTTTCTTGCTATTAGCTTTAAATGTTTATGAATATATTTAGTTTGCTATCAGTTTTTAGTTTTTGTTATAATCAATTTTTAGAAGCTTAATCATTTAGTATCATGCTGCAAATTTTCCATGAATCAAAGTCTATTTAAGAAATAACAATAACTTTCGTGGTTTGAGTTTACTTTTCAATAAATCGATAGATTTAAGTATTTGTGATTCATTTTATTCGTAAGTAGATCTTTGTTATCGAATGTGTCTATGCATATTGATTTGATAATTTATACTATTTGTCACGAAATTTTCAGTATTTAAACGGAAGAAATCCTTTTACAGTTGAGAAGCCAATTTGTGGTTATGAAATGATAATAATATCAGTAAGAAAATAAAATATTTTCACAAAATCTACCGATTAAATAGATTAATGAAGTAACTTTGTGTGTCCGGAAATGTTATGAGTATCACCCTTGAGTTATCATTTAGTTTGACCTTTAAAAGGGTATGTAAAACGGATATTATGTATAAGTTTTCACTTCCTCTTTAAATCAATATTTCACATACATTGTTAAAATATATTTGAAATCTGTATTTAATTACTCTTTGCTAACAATGCATAGTTTTACTTGTTTCTTTCTCGGATTTTTTTCAACCATTTTAGTGACACGTGCCGTCACGAGAACTGGTAAGTAAATTGCATTCTCGATTAGTTTAAAATACTGCTACTATAAATGAAGATCTTTACGGATTAAGTGATGGTGATGATACTAATGATGATGATGATGAAAATGACAATAATAACTGGACAAATAAAGGGTCATGAAATGATTTCACGACAACATCGATGGATGATGATGATTGACAACATCGATGGATGATGATGATTCTGACAAAGTTCTTGATAATTTGGCGATGAGCACAATGATATTAAAAGAAAGATATATATGATAATGATTCTGAAACTTGTGCTGGGGGGGCAGATTTGAGACAATGACAACATTTAAGATTATTGTAATATTGATAATAATTGTGTCGGTTGTTGTTATTATAACGATAATAGCTGCGACGACGTTGATTGTAAGGATTTTAGATGATAATAGCATTTACGAATTTACAATTTTTAATTTAATGAAAATTCTTTCAAAGCCACGTTAATCGCTAATGTCCGTTTAAAGTTGAAAAGAAAATCTCAAAAGAAATAATTTAGTTATCTATGTTTGTTATCTATTTGATATCTACATATAAAAGACTGTCTTTCAGGCGTGGTGATAGACTGCTATAATACAACGGTAAAGGACTACAACGGCCACCAGCAGACGACAGAGACCGGGACACCGTGTATAAGATGGGATTCTAATGAGGATTACAAAAATGAACAATTTCGTGACGCTACAATATCAGATGCAGCAAACTTTTGTCGTGCTGTTGGAGAGAATTATCTCTGGTGTTTGACAGACAGTGGCGATTGGGGCAAATGTGGAATTGAAAAATGTGGTAAATAAATTTTAGGCTATAACTGATTTAAAAATAATTATCGAATCAGCATTTTCATAACTTGTAATCAATTACTGTGATAGGTTAATACAGAATTTTCTTTAGATTGATTTGGGTCGTCCTTGGCCAAGTGGTTAAGGTCGTTGGCTTCAAATTTCTTGTCACTCACTTCCAATAAATCGGATCTCGCTGGTGACTTTGAATTCCTTCGTTTGGAGAAGCTGTCCAGCTAGCGTACTGAACGTAGATGGTTCTATTCTGGTGCCTATTTGTGCCTGAAGTAATGCATTCCTCATCCAGTCAAACTCGAATGTTGTATTTGTTTGTGCGACGTAAATCCAACAAAAAAATGGTGGAGGAAGCTCAAAGCTTATAGACACATTTTTAGAGTCCGTTTCTAGAACCAACAAATGCTGAGTAATGGTTTTTATGTTTCTTGCGACTACTTGGGTTAGAAAAGAAGCGGTTAGCGTTCCTAAGGTTTCCAGTTCAACGCGTTCGACACTCGGTCATGCTCATTTATGTTATTTATATTAACATTATTTATTTTATGCTTTTCAGTGGATTACTGATTTATCCGTGAAAATTGTATTTGATAATTTCACAGTGAAACTTATCAAAATATAATTTCACACTTTTCAATGACGAAACTACTTTTTTTAAGATTTTCCCCATGTGGCACCTCAATTTTATTTTTGCTGACTATTCCGACAATGTCAGGCTGTTTAAAGAAAAACAAAGCTGGAATTGATAAATAACTTATATGTCACAAGTAATAAAAAGAAGAAAAACTTACAGTAAGTTACTACTATTCATTCAAGTTACCAATCACCAAATATCGTCTCTTTAATTTTTTGTTTCATTTTTACAGTCTGAAAAATACATTCCTTCCACATGCAAAACTGCTCTTGATGACATTTGGGAATATTTAAGTATCCTACGAGCAATAACTGCCGTATGCTTTATGAAAACTTGAAAAGTATTGGCAGCTTTCAGTCGATGAATATGTAAACAACCCAGCGTTCGTAAGGCTTCCGAGTTCTCCAATTTCCTATCCACTTTTTTTAATGTTTACACATCTGTCAACACTTATTTATTGTCTGTTACAATCATCAAATAAGTGTATGACTAACAAATCCAAATGATATCCCTCTGAATCAAACACAATTATTTTCATCCAGTGAAATACACAACTTTAAAAATGGCTTACATTTAACATAGCCAGGTCTAATATAAATTCGCAGTCAGTAACAGAAATATGGATGGATGGTTGGACTTTTTCTCCTACTAGAATTGTTTGTTTTTATTATTTAAACAAGCGATCAGACATATTTTTTTAATAAAATGAATACTATCGCCACCATTTAAAGTTGATTGTGGAACTTATTTTTCAGCCCATGACTTCTTGTATTTAATGAGAAATTCGACTTTTTTGAGGCTCTAAATGGGGAAAACAGATTTTAATATTAACGTAAATATTAAGGAAATTTCGTTTTAACTTGTTTTTAAGCATAAAATAAAAAGAAAATTTGTTTGTTTGTTGTGTAAGATGTAATTTTATTTCATCTCGTGAGAATACTGTTTTTAAAGCCCACTCGATGAAATAAAATTTCATCTTACACACAAACAAACAAATATCCTCTATGTACACGAAGCTATGCTTGATTATCTTTGATATGAATTTTTAGCTACAAACTAGTCATGACAAAGTAACATTCCATGAAAGTAAAGCCACCTTTATCTAGATACTCTGTAATCCGGAGTATTTTTCATTTCTGGCGATTTTCAAAATCCTACATCCCCTTCTTTCTTTATTCTAAATAAAAATGTGTTCCCTATTACTCCGGAAGTTTTTTCCCAAACTTAAGTGTCCGTATGACACTGTTACAAATTCTATGTTCGGACCTAGAATAATTTTTAGTTTTCGAGAAAATCACTGTTATTCCACGAAATTACGTAAGGCAATTATAATTCAAAATTATTCCTTTTCTTTCTTTCTTTCTTTTTCCCTTGGCAACAGGATAAGATTTTGATTCCTTCAGTCAATATTTATTATAACAGCTAATCTTATTCTGAAATAAATGTTTGATGAACTTTGAGGCTGAGATATTTAAACACATTTACTTTATTTGTTAAATGAAATCTTTATCGAATCATTATTTGGAATTTTCATGAATGTTAAGCAACCACAACAATTGTACACATTAACGCTAATATAGCGCTTGCTTTTAAAATTAATATCTCTAGAAATGTTATGTGCAAGCGTTGTTGTTTGTTGTTTGTTGTGTATGCTGCGCAAGAATGTAAAAAGGCCATTTAATACAAACGATATTTCCCACACTTTGACTTGACGGCATTGTGTTATAATATATAAATATATAATAAAAGCGCGCTTATACTAGTGTTACACTATAGGCGCGTCATTTAAAAGTGACCCTGTTTTAACAGTTTGCCATTCTTATTTCAGATATGATAAACATAATATTATATTCATGTAGATTTAATACTAATATATTGAACTCGTTGAAAAAAACAACAACAATATTATGCTCGCTAAACGCTCGCATAATATGATTTTATTAAAAGGACTTATAATTTCAAAATTTCGAGCTAAAACAGAATGAAATTACGAATGATGTTAAACAAACGGATTCTTTGCACACCTCAAATTATTCCATAGTCTAAAATATGTTAAGTGTTTCTATAATAATAAATGTATATACATTGTATACATTTACATATAAGTAAAAATATTATATTATCAAAACATTTATACGTGTACAATATCACAGTTTACCTGTATTTATGTAAATATTTCGTTTTCACTTACAGATGATAACGGTATTAGCAAATGTGGAAATCTAAAAATTGAGAAACCAGCTTTACTAGGACGAAATGTAACGTTTACTTTTACCCCGGACTCACATGATCCAGAAGCAATACTAGAATGGCAACGTGCAGCTAAAGGAAACCCATGGTTTACTCGTCCTTTGACATACAAGTTCACACAGTATAATGAAGAAGGAACATACTACATGGTCTTAACAGACAGTGTGCTAAAAAGTGATGAGGTTTATTACCGGATACATTATTACAACAAAACCGTGCACTGTTGGATGAAAGCAGGAAAACTTGAACTTGATGGTATGTCAGTTTTACTTGTCATTAAAAGCAATGCTCGCTCTTCTTACTTAGCCAGTCAGTAACAGGACGCTTTATAATTACTTTATTGGGAGTCTTATCTTAATCGGACACGACATCTATATAAAATGATGACACATACATATGCACTATTTATCTTTAGGAATAGGAAATCATATTTACAAAGAAACGGGGTTTGCAACATTTAGTTAAAATAATTTGAAGCTACTTCAATAAAACCGTTGTTCTTTCAAACCGTTTTATAACTTTATCCGTACATTTTACAGAATGAATTCATAATCTAGACTGATTATCAGATGTATGCACTTTTCCCGTTTCTTGCTATTTAGATATATAAATGTAAAGGTAATATAGATAGATATGAATATACTATTGTGTCATAATTGTACCTCTAGAAATAGGAATCTAGACACTGATTTACAATATTTGCTGTCAAAATGTCAACAAGAAACATCTAACTAACACCACAAATCCATGTTGGTTTGTTTACCTTAGAAATTAACGTGTATTGGTGGGTGAGAATGTATATTAAGAATATTATCCGTCTAAAGATGTAATGGAAGACCCAGTTAATTTCAAAAGCAAATGGGCTAGATCACGAAATGATTCTACATCTGATATAAAGCGTAGGGATGATACTTACATTGAAAATAAAAATGAAAATGGCATTTATACATTAACTTTATCTATGGCTAACATTCGCCTGAACGCACGGAGTAGATTGTGGTAAAGAAGCAGGATTAACAAATAGTATTTCAGAGGTTGTACAAGGTAAAATTAAAACCCGACATCATTATATGATATTATCTAAATCGATCAATTAAGCTATGTGATGAGTGAGCTGTCTTTTATGAAGTAGAAACGTATTATTATTAATTTTTATATATTATATCTTCACCAGTACGCTAGAGCTTTTATTTTACTGACGAGTGAAATGTTGAAATCGACATTTTACTTAATATCAATATTATATGACTGTGGGTGAGGATAGGTTAGAGAGATAGTTGTAGACGGGTTTGATTGTTTTAAAAGACCCTCCGTTAAGAGTCTAAGGACATTTTAGTACAAGCAGGAAGTCAATCGTTTTTAAATAGTTTAGGTATTCAGGTATGCTGAATCCATTTTTGCTCTACCAGGTCTGTACTTAAAGTCATTGACCTTCAAAATGTCAAATTAAAATGGCCACCATCGACCTTTTTCATAATTATTTCTTGTAACTGTTTTTGAAATTATTCTATGCCACTTAAACCGCATGAAATTAGGTTATAGACACTTTTAAAAGAATTATCTGATAAAATTAACATGATTTATACATTTACTTCTATGGTGACGATGTTTGATTTCCATATAGACGTTTCCAAGCAGATAAAGGTCTGTCCATCAATCGGATCTTTTTGTAACACTGAACATCAACAACATAATGATATAATACAAGAAAACTGTTCTGTAGAAATGTATACAATGGTAAGTATTATATAAACTTCAATCATGAATGTGTTTCGTCATTGTCCTGAAAAAATACATCATTATCGATAGACAATTATGGATAACATGTATGATGCCACTTAGGTCATAGATGACCAGCATCAAGCATGCACAATTTATCCTTATATGTTTATGTTTTAATTCAGATAAATAGGCATGTGTGTATTATACCTGCTTAGACAAATGATGTATTTAATTTAGTTTAACATGGTTTAAACCCATTGTTTGCAGAACACCACATACTTTTAAGTGTTTCTTCCCTTTGTTTAAAATTCGCATTTGTTTTTCTGCAAGGTTTGGTTCCATTTTATTGAAAAAACATAAAGTGAGTATGTGCCAATGAATTATTTTTGTTCATAAGTACTTAAAATAATTTCTTCTAATGATAACTTTAAGCTAAAGTATTGACAATCTTGACAAAACCCTTGATGGTAAAAATACATTTTATGCTACACAGATGGCAGCTTGGCAGCGTTTAGAGTCTTCAAATGTCGATGAGATTGAAATGAATGTTCCGTTTAATTCTATACGAACTGCACTTGTTTTCCCTGAAGCTCTTAAAAAACTTCATGATCTTGCATTTATCCCTGCCGCTCTTGAACAATCGACTTCTTTTGGTGTATATGCCATTTCTTAGTATGATTCTAATAAACTTAAAACGGAAACAAGTTTTCGGAATACTTAATCTATCGATATGGCATTCCATTTCTACCGTAATGCGTATGATGCTATTGGATGGATATCGCTTAATGAAAAGCTTATAAATCCGTCTCCAAATCAAACAGATTTTGGTTTTTTATCGATGCTAGTTGCACCAGCGCACGAATTTGATACTTTAAATATGGTTGTGAAACATTGATTGCCATTTCTGATCATTTTGGTCAGCAATACACTGTAATAACTGTAGACCAAGCATTTTATTGTAAACTTATAGAATTGTAGTGAACCATACCTAATTACAACAAGAAATTGATTCCTCGACTGTGCGGATAACATATTTCTTTGTATTTCTTGAAAGTAATTTGTGACCATATCGATGGCTCAGGGTTGGCAGAGGCATGGGTAGAAAGTGGGTTACTTGCACCAGGTTCTATCTAGCTTGTACTCAATGGCAAATCTTACACAAAAAGAGTGTGGACCCATAAACTGACTGCACAACTATTGTGGATTCTTCTCCTCCCATCTCTTCTAACATAAATTCAAGGCAAATATCAAGAATGTCATCATCTGTTGTCTCACCAGTTGTCAAATGATGACTTTGAGAATTTGATACGTTCACTACAGATTTTGAAAACAGAACGTCTTCAAAAACGTTTGACTGAATTTGTTACTTAACAATAGAAACAGATCGATAAAGTCTCCAGGTCTACTGATATAGAATTTGTTAAAATACTATCGATGTTCACCAGGTCATTACGAGATGGGCTATGGAATCAGTACATTGCATCTTTCTGACCTATGTTACCCTAATTTTTACGGTATGATCACTTTAATAATGCTCGATGTGGCCCAAAATACCTGGCATAGATGTACCAGCTTTCCCTATCAGTGTTGTCAGAATTTAAGAATTAATACGGGAACTTTTGTAGTGAGACGTACAATGACAATAAGCAAGATGAGTCATCATAATTTTCTACATTGCAACAACTTAAAGTTTTTGCCCCAGAGTCAATTGCATAAAAGGTCTTGCCACAGAATCTTTACAAGAGTCACTGATCAATGTACAGGACCTTGCTCAGCAGGAAATAAATGATTTGTGTCTACAAGATTGTTAAGGGTAGGAAACGACTAGCAGTTCACGCTCCTCTTAAGAAGAATAATCCGCCGATATTTGCGTCACTGTATGACGTTCCTTCCAAAAGGGAAAATACAGACGGAAAAGGGTTAAGCCCTAACAACCGATAGAATGGTTCACCATCGTTTATTAACCGCGTTTGAAGCCGCTTGCGATGTTGATTTTAATCTGTTCTGGAGCATGATTTTTTGTCTGTACCGATTGCACTTGCAGAAATAGATCGACTGAAAATAAGTCGGTACTTGCCGACTGTATAACAAAAGGAGTGTTCTGTCCAGACTCAATCACCCCTTATCAGCCAGCAACAATCATTATATACGGACAGGCACTTGTTGTTAAAGTAGGCAAACCTATTGGGGATATCACATTTGGTGATTTCGCTTACACCTTTTGTAATGCCGTAATTCAAATCGGTTGCGCTTATTCAAATCGGTCTACGATGAACAAAGACTTGTCAGCCAATATGACGACTGGCTGAAGGTCGTGACGTACCCTTGCCACAAAACCGGGGACATATTATTGCAATACCAGAAAACAAGTCAGATCTTGCCAATTTCTTTCTTAACGGAAGAATTAATCCCACAAGCTCCAAGTAACAAAGGAAAAGTGACAGCTGGTGGATTCATAGATGAGCTTGAAATACGGTCATCAAATCCAGAAAATTTTATCATTGATATACTGGAAAGCAAACACGAATAGATTGACACAAGACTTGTGTTACATGCAGTACACAGTAAAGTTTATGAAGTAGTAGTATACTCTAAAAAATTGATGTGCTTTTGATGCTTGTAATCCATTATCATGATGCAATTTGTCAAAACATATGGTTGCTGACAGGTACATAAAAGAAACATCGATACATATCTATTGCTCAAGTCTGTCAAAATCTACCTGCATCTAGATCACCCCTTTCACGCCATAACAGGTTGACACATTCTCATTTCTTGCAGGAAACTCAAAGAAGTATTTCTTGAACACCTTTAATGACCACTGAAAGCTTTTGATGGAATCCTCACTTATGTAACATAAGCCAGTGTTGAAGCCTTTGTTTGCAGAAGTACAATATTTTTAATACACACTCGACCGATGAAGGCAGATACGAGTAAATTCATAGGGCAAACAGGACTGCGGTGTTGTGTCCAACACAAAACGCTTAACAATTCCATACTAAACGACGCATATTCAGACTATGATTTGGCGGCAAGAAGCTGTTTGTCCAATACAAGTGTTACTGTACAAGACCAAACTGGATCTGGATGGGAACAGAATAAATACAAATTGAGGCCCACATTGACGCCCCTCCCTATTAGAAACATGCTTGCAAATGGTGTATTGTTCCTGCAAAACGCAATACATATGGCCATTGTAAATGTAACAGAAATCCACGCTGAACTGCACAATAATGTGCTTATGCAAACATTTAGGGTTATGTTTAACTTTCGTGTAGTTGTCCATCGTCAAATTCGTACTGTCGAATTCATTTCCGTTCCCGTCGACAAAACTTTATAAAAACATGATATTTACTCATGTAGTGTATGTTAAGAATTAAAATAACCTTCAGATGGCAGATGTGTAGCTTCTTGAATTTGCTTTACGTACATTGCGACATTTTCAACCTTAACCCTGTAGTTTGAATGTATGCATTTCTTATTCTTTGTTGGTATGTCTTAATTACTATCATTGCCCATTTGAATTAGGAAAT